GTTGATGGTACTCATAAATGACCGCTTTAATTAATTTTATTTACAATATAATTATGATAATTTCAATATAGAATCGCGTTGATTGATTTTTATTTTTGTTTAAATGTATGTGTTAAAAGGAGTGCGCATTCTAAAATACTTTGTGATGTTCATTATTTGATCTAGAAAACGTGCTGGAAGTACAAATGGACCAATTCCTGGCACAACATAATCTATAATGAGAAGCGTGTTCTGGATTTTCAATACTAGGTCGACCAATGAAGGTCTTTAGCCTTTTTCTTTCAAACAGAAAAAAATGTACATTTTGTATAGATTTTTTTTTGTGGCAGCACTCTATTGAATGAAAGAAGCTGTGCGGTGTTGTGGTTTCTAAAAAAACTTTTGCAACTATATTGAAAATAATCTTCTTATGCGCAGTAAATTTATACATTATATATAAAAAATATTTTTTAATTCTAATTTATTTCGTAAAAGTTTAGGTATATATAATTAACTTAAATTTGAATTAGATTACTATTTTTTAAACATACACTAGAACGTCAATCGAGAACACGTCAGTCGAGAACAGAGCAAGGGAACAATTGAAGGGAAGTGGGGAAGCGGGTAGAATTTAGGTTATGACTGACGCCAAAGTCGTACTTGTGATTTTTAAATTTAAGGTGGATTCAGTGCCCCACTAGTGAAAATCCCCTAGATAGAATTCACATTGTTGCGTAAGGCCCTTCATACGGCCCTGAGTGTTTTTATTTTCGAGCGATAAAAATCGCGTCAATCGAGAACAGCACTGCACATTCGTCTGTTCTCGATTGACGTTTTAGTGTACATGGAAATACTCAATTATATCGCATTTTTAAATAATAAATACTTTAATGATGCCCTTTAAACTATTTAATACAAATTTTAGAAAAGTACTTTCACATGGTACGCTGTAATCAAAATCGAATTTCGTGTAAAACACATTAGCAGTGAAATAAATAATACATTAAACATTGAAAAGTAAATCTAAACATTATATAAAATAGAGGCGTAAGAAATTATCCAACGCGCGTTTAATATTCAAACGCGTTTGCTAATATTTATGGCAACAATAATATGATTGCAACATGTCACTTTGTATTCAACAAGGTTTAATTTTTCAAGTCATATGTCCATCAATTTGTATTTATATTCCGTCCTCTCATTTGCATGCAATGAATATCTTCAGAAATAGCAAATTTATCGTGACAAACCTCTTCACTCGCGCACCTTTTGTCTTCACATATATCCAATCAATAATAATTATCTGATTCTATTTCTTTATTGTTGTTTTCACCCGTTTATGGAAATTTATTCATTACAGTTGATTCTTGATTCACACAAAATATGCAATAATTGAATAACATTAATTCATTGATTTTTAATTAAAAATTCAAATAAACTATAGGTCAAATTTTTACTAATTCAGATTTAGAGAGTGATGTGTTAATTATGTTTTATTCAGACATCTGAGCGTGCGACGGTATTTTTTATTTTTATTACAATCTAAAGATAATTATATAATGAACGATAGTCAATAAAGTTTTGTTTAGCAATATTATCTTTCGAGTATGGAGTGATTAATTTTAGTCTATGTCGTTAATGCTAATGCTTTTTTTATTGTATTCATTTTTTAAAAATAAAAATTATAAAATATTAATCTGAAGGTCTATCGAATACATTATAATGAAAAAATGCATTAATTTTATTTATATCATTAAAAATTAATACGATAATTATATATCGACGTTTTGGATAGTTGAATTACACGCACCCCTATAATATAAAAATGTAATAAAATTTTTTTTTTCTTCACGAACTACGCGCACTTTTGCTTTCTACCCGTCTTTGTGTTCGTTCAAATACTCGCCTATTTCAAATATAATTATACAAACTCCATTTGTTTTTCTTTCTGCGTTGTGTTTTATTTGTGAATTTTTTTTACTAATTTATTGATACAAAATACTTTTATTAAAATATAGCCTACGATGGCTTTCGGCCGTCTCTGTTGCTTCTATTATTTTTCCATTCAATTCAATTTATGTTTCATAATTTATTACAATTGATTTATTCTTTTATTAAATTTAATTATTTCAAATAAGTGCGGATGGGGGTTGGCGCGCGAAGCGCGCAGGGGGCATAGCCCCCTAGTATATATATATATAGGTTATGTTCATAACCATTTTGTATTTTTTATTAAAATTTAGTGTACAATTCTAATTTTTATCCAATTTTTATAAACAATGACTCATTTTTCTCTTTGAAAGATTCTCTACAATTCTAATTTTGTGTTTTTGTTAAATAATGGTTTGTTTAAAAAATATAAAAATTTTATTTGTTTATCAACTTTTGAACAAAATATATTTTTAATAAAATTCAACAAACAGAATTGTAGAAAATCTTTCAAAAAAAAAATGACCCATTGTTTTTAAAAATTGGATAAAAATTAGAATTGTCTACTAACTTTTAAGAAAAAATACAAAATGTTTATTAATTATTATTTAACAACAAATTTTAACTCAAAATAATTTTTTTCCCAAAATTGTATAATTAGATTTGTCGAATTTGGGTGTAATAAATTTTAAATATATTTTGAGTTCTGTTACACTGAAAGAAATTTCATAGGAAAAAATAACAAAATGCGTATTACATTTTAATATATTCTTTTAGAATTTAGGGAAAAGTGTACTTTTTATTAAAATTCAATATACTTTATATTAAAGTTCCAACTTAAAATCTTTTTTCAAATATTAATAATTATTGTAGAAAGAACGTAAAAAGATTACCAATATTTGAAAATATTATATTAAATTCTCATAGAGTTGTTGCATTATATGGAATGTAGCGTTCTAATATTTGTAAAACTTTATACGAAAAATTCAGAATGTCGGAAGAAAAGGGAAAAAAAGCGGAAACTGTCGGACGTTTCCGTTAATTCTCGGGAGGAAGAGGAGTGAGACTAGGAACAACACATTCACACTTACGATACAGGTTAATACACATACTAATGAACACGCACGTTCATTTCGCTTATACATATAGACATTACACGATCGCAACGAAACCTACACTTACAATTCTATACGCATAACGATAAATTTCGCTGGGGGTCGGCATATATCGTTTTCTTATATACTAACTACTGAATATTTTTACCACTTGCGAGAAAGAAGTTTACTTATAATAACTTAATAATAAAAAATAGTTTACTAGTGCCAATGGTGTAATTTTATAGAGGTTACGCTGGGTTCATTTTTATTATTAATTGTTTATATAGATTTTTCTTTTTTTTCAGATTAAAAATTATGATTGTTATAAAAATTTTTATTGCAAATAAAAATTAAATAATTGTAAAGATGACATCAAAAAATAAAAATTCATAAAAATAATAATAAATTTAATAATTAATAATAAATTTATTATTATTAAATAACTTTAATAAAACATTTTTTATAAATTGAAAATAAATTAGGTACGTTCTGCTGGTTAACAACACTTTCGAAAATCGGATCAAGTCGTAGAAGTTCGAGTAGGACACGAAGCCGCAAACAGACAGAACTTCGGTTAAATTCGTAGTCTCTCGGGAAAATCCGTGACTTTTAATATAAAGTTTTACAAAATGTGAAATAAGTATACGGATATATGTTATTTTTCTTACTATTTTGTGAAATTATTTATTATAATATTTCGTATTCTGTGAATTCATAAAGAAAATACTAATTTTTAAAATAAATATACTAATTCTTATTTCTTAAAATAATAGTTACTCTTAAATTCATTATATATTTTCATAAAAACTGTAATAGTAATCAGTATAGGTGCACTTTTTCCCTAAATTGTAACATTTATATTAAACTCTAATATGAGTTTAATACTTAGTAGTATGAATTTTCTTTCAGTGTAAAAACTACTTTTTAGTTCGAGATTATGTTAATGGGTTGAACCTTCATAAAGAAAAAAAAATTGTATATGTGAAGATTTTCTCTATATTTTATATTGATGGCAAGAATTATTTATTCAACGAAAACTTTTTTTAATTATTTAAGTTTTCTAAGAGAAAAATAATGTATAAAGTGTCGTGAAATTTACAGTTGTATCACGTTTATATCATTCTTTTTGGTGGTTCCACTTAATTGCAGTACGCAATGGGCTTGACGTTAGGGGACGGATAATAATTCCACTCGAGTATCACGATAAACAACCCGGGTTGAAATATATCCGGTTTGATGATTGAAACTCCCCTCCTCTTGCGAATTTCTTAAGCTCATAAGAATATATATATAACGGGAGTTTAATTCACATTTCGATCGATCGTTATATTCAGATATATACAATTAAACTATAATTATATAAGCACTTCTCATAACAATGTATTTGTTATATCATTAATTAGTCATTTTTGTCTATTATAGATAATTATAACTTATCACCCACAACAGCTTTTTTTTAACTCAAAATTTCTATTGGTAATTAAAATTCTGTTGACTATTTTTAACGGTAAAAGAATTTGAAATCAATTTTAAAAAATTTTAATTTTTAAAATGTCAATAAAAATTGGTCAATTGATGCTTCTTTAATTATACTTTAAACTGATTATGATAGTTTAATTACTGTATAAAGATTTTTTAACAAAAAATTTGAAAAATACATTTTTGGAAAAATATCACTAGAAAATTTGATTTTTCGATGCCTATGATGTCAAAAAATGGAAAGATAACATCTTTACTTTTTCACATATTATGTGAAAAAGTCAAATTTGATTTTTTTTATAATACAATACAATAATAATAATAATAATTTTTAATTACTAAGTGGTAATTATTAATAATTGTTAATGTTCCATTAAAACTTGAAATTGGTATTTATTTTTATTATTATAAAAATATGGAAAAAATTATTTAAATAAAATGCATAATTTTTTAATGTTTACTCATTTAATTTAAAAAGTAATTGCAAAAACTAATACTTTTTTTTATTAATTGCAGGAAGTGATTAGAAAATCGAAGCCAAAATGGGCTGTACGTCGCGGTGTGCCAAGTACTTTCTATGTTTCTTCAATTTCATTTTTTTCGTAAGTATTTTTATTTTATAAAAAAATTTCTTTTAACATTTATAAATAATTTATTATTTAATATAACAAATATTTTATTACCTTCTGTTATTCAATATTAGTTTTATTTTTTAAGTTTACGGGAAAGAAAATTGTAAATCTTTGTAAAAGTACAGAATATGATGAGCCAAAAGTTTTGAACGTTCAAATGAACAAAATTTTTTTTGCAACTTCTTTAAGTACGAATTTTATTATAAAATATTGTTTTAAAAATCTAAAAAGAAGTTATTTAATTTAATAGTTGTTTAATTTACATGAGCCGAAAGTTCTGAACGTTCATATGAACGAAATATTTTTTTCAATCTATAAATTATTAAAAATTATGATGACCATGTAAAATAAAACAGTAAATTAAACAACTATTAAATTAATAACTTCTTTTTAGATATTTTAAACAATATTTTGTAATAAAATTCGTACTTAAAGAAGTAGAAAAACAAATTTCGTTCATATGAACGTTCAAAACTTTTGGCTCATTAATTTACTGTTTCAATTTACATTAACATTATAATTTTTAATAATTTGTAGATTGAAAAAAATATTTCGTTCATTTGAACGTTCAAAACTTTTGGCTCATAGAATATGGAGTAAATATAAATCTAAATTTATATAACAAACATTTTTAAAAATTTTGTTAAAAAAACATAATTTGAATATAAACTTAACTTTATTCCATAAAACATAGCTGTACATTTTTCCTTAAAAAATAATTATTTCTAAATTTGAAAAATTGTTTTTTTAATTAAATAACAAATTATTTATAAATAGAATTTTTTTTTAATTTTCATTAATGGTAAAAATTAATTAAATTAAATTCTGTTAAATAAGAATTATAGTAGTGCAATTGTATAATTATAAATTGTATAACATATTTAATAATCGGAAATCTTGCGAAAAGAAGAAAGTAGTCTTTGTTCATTCATTATTCATGATTTTTCTATTAATAAAGAAGGACAAAAAGTTTTTAAAAAAAATTTTTTTGAGAAATTATATTTCCATATAGTTGCGTTATATACACACTATCAAGGTGGTAACATCATCCTCTTGAAGTTTCGCCATGCGAAACAAGGCATCAAAATAATTCTCATGTTACAGATCGCCGGAGGTGCAGCCTTAGCCGTTGGTATCTGGCTGATTGCTGATAAAAATTCCTTTATCAACCTAATCAGGCAAATTGATGATACTGATGTTTTGGTAAGTAAAGAAAAAAAATTTTTATTAATTATTATTATTATTATTTATTATTAATTAGATTTTCAATCCAAATAATGCCTAGAGAAATACTTTTCAAGGTATTATATGGACCAAAAACCTTTTTAAAAATGATTTGATATTTTTGGTCCCGTGAAAAACAAATTTCGACGCTGAGCGTCGACGCCAACTTCATGGAGGTTTACAAAATACAATTTTTATTTATAAGAGGAAATAAGTAAAAAATTCTCAAGGTAGGTCAATAAAAAAAATGGAAAATTATATAGTAAAAAGATAAAAAAAAAACCTTTAGCGACCTTCTATTGAATCGGTTTATATTTCTTTGTATCAACTTTAAAAGAATTTAATTATTTTAATTTTTTTCAATATTCAATTTTATGAGGTAATTTTCAAATTGGAAATTTTACTTGCTGAAGAGCAATATGCAGTAAATTGATATGAGAAAAATATGTTATTAAATCAAGATTTTAAAAAAGAATATAAAATTAACTCAATAAAATTTTTTTTAATATTTCATACTTTTGGCTTAAATATTGATTGAATATAGAATATTTTTCTCAGTGTAGTTATTGGTAATTATAAACAACAGTTTTTTTATATCAAGCAACGGTAGTAACTACTGCACAAAGGAAACTTAAAAGAACTGAACAGATTTCCTGATTAAGCAATGTACGGTAAATATTGGTCAGGAAGAACAAATGACGAATATATATATATATAACGATCAGGAAAATTACATAAATTTTTTTTTTGAACATCCTGTAGTAAAAATGAATAATAGATAGTATTTCTAAATAGAATTTAACAGGGATAAATATCCCAGTAAAACGAGAAATAATTTGTAACTTTCAAAATAATTCTTGAAATATAATGATTCAACTGATTGTGAGGTCTTCGAAGCGAAACTTCTTATTCTTGTATTATTTCTCTTTCTTGTTCCTCATCGTTCCTTCGATTCTTGAGCGCGTTAAAACACCTGTTCGTTGCTTGCTTATACACATTAATGAAAGCAATACACGTCAGGAATTGCCGAGAATTAACTATTTGGCTTCTTTCCAAATATTTAGAATTTTAAAACGAGTTGTTAATATTTCTCACAATGATCCATTCTGTTACTAGGCTACGAAATATAAGGTTCTACATTCCACATTATTCTTTCAATGACTCTTTTACACGTCAGCGATTGTTTTTATCATTTTTAAAATTCGTTTCGAATTCGTAACAATCATTTTTTTAATTTAAAAAACAAAAAAAATGTTTATTTTAAAACAATTTGTAACGTGACCCGTGTATAGAAAAATTACTAAATGAAAATCGAAATATTTGTTGGTATGTTATATTTGCTAAGATGCGGAAGTGATTTGTTTAGAAACAGTCATAACAGCCGATTACGATAATGTAAAATACCTGTTAAACGAGCAAGAATTTCTAAAATCTTTACTTATTTAAAACTTGATTGATTTTTTGATAACAAAAAAGTATAACATGAGGTATATTCTGAAATTTAAGTCAGTCACTTTCGTTTTTTACATTACAAGTTAACTTATTCTATTTTAAGAAGGTTCAACGCAATGACATAACCTCAAATTCTGAAAAGTGCAGTTTTAATTTTTTTCTCGTAAAGTTCTTGTTGTCCCATTATGAAAATTAAAAAAGTTATTCTTAACATCATATGCAATAAGAAAAAAAAATTTTGAAATTGAAGAGTTAGTTTTTTCAAAAAATGAATTCAAAAGCATTTTTTGACTTTTTTCCGGGCAAGATCATTTTGTGAGAAATTAAAAAAAAATTGATCTCATTGGTATAACAAGAAAAAAGTTACACGGTTTTTTTTTTAAAAAAAATGACATAAATTTTAAATTAGAGATATCTTAAAAAATTTTGAAAAAGTTTGTGGGCTTTCATTCTGTACAAATAAAGGAACATATTCACAAGGTTTCAATAAAATTGCTCCAATTATCAAAATTAATTTTCTTAACAATATTTTGTTGAAAAGTCATTGAACAAATTTTTATTTTCTTTTTAACTCAGATATTATTTATACCAAATACCTATTATTTTTAACAAATAGAATTATGGAGAATTGGATAAAAAAAATTGGACAAAAATTGTAATTTTTTCACTAATTTTAAATAAAAAACATAAAATTTTAAATAATTAATATCTAATCAAAATTATTTTCTCTTCAGGGAGTTTAATAATATAAAAATAATTACAAAGATACAAAATTTAAAAAAAAATGAAAAATAATTCTTTAGTTGATCTAGTACATTATTTTTATTTGTATTATATTGCGAACTTTGGATAAAAATGCAGTTAATTTAATACACACAGAATGAACTTTAACTTAAAATTATCTCTGAACGATACGCACGAAAAATAATTTTTAGGTTAAGAGTTATGTCAAAATCTTATTGACAATAATCACTTTGAGACACGAAAAATAAAAACATTTACAATAAAAATAAATGGAACATCTGAATTGTGACAGTTCGCAGGGCATGGTAGCTTTTCTTTGATACATGGCGGGTAACTAAAATAGTGAAAAGCAGGGTGATGTAGGTGACAAAAATATAAAGTTATGCTATATTTCGGACGTTCTACTTGATTTCCAGAGAAAATTTATATCCTTCATTCTAAACTAACCTTTAAGTTTAAATCAAACATGTATTGTAATCAAGAAGACTAGAATTATAATTTTTATTCAAATGAAAAGTAAAATTCATACATTTAAATACACTTAATGAAAAGAGACTTTTCTTGTTTCTTTTTTTAAACATCGAATACAATTTGATTTTTGCTCATGTACATATGATGTGGTTAAAGTGAATCGATTTTTTATTCATTATTATTTACTTTTCCATGCATACAAAATCCATTTTGATACTTATCGTAATCGATAAATTGTATTATAAATTCTTAAGCAGGTATGTAAGTGCCGACTTTTTCCTGTCGATTCTTGATAAAATGCGAGTCTAACGGTAATGATATAGAGAACGAGAGTGCACGCTGGCCATTGTTGTCGCTCAGTTCCCATCATAGCCAATGAAATAGTCAACTTTCAATATCAAAATGTCAAACTCATGAGATTTTACTTTTACTTTTCGCTCATGACCACTTAGTTTGTTTTTATTTTTTCAATTTCCCATCAACATTTATAGTAGATGAAAAAAAATTTTCTTTATAACGAACTACAAATAATTTTTACACAAATTAAAAATTTTATTTTGTATTTTTTTACGAATAGATTCGTTTCATTGATAAAAATCAAACAAAACTTGAAATTTTTTAATAAGATAAAAATTGTTGTGAAAAAGAGAAAGACAAATTAATAAATTTTTATATCTTTTAATAAATTCTGTATTTTTTTTTTATTATAGTTAGATAAATGAAATCATTCTACTATAGGTACTTTCTATATGAAAATTATTTACAAAGAAATGAAAAATGGTTAAGAATTGTATTTTAATTTGCAAACTTTATATATGCAAGTACACATTATATATCGAATTCTTGCTTTTTTTTATTGTTAATGTAAAAAAAATTGATATTATAAATTTCCATAAAAGAGAAATTATGAAGATATATAAGTAAAATTGTATTTTCTAGGAATAGAAATCTACTGAAAAAAATTCATCGACATTATAAGCCAATGAGTTTTACGCTTCATTACACGAATGCGATGATTTAACTTTCTTTCTTCTTCTGTGACTTTTCTCCTATTAGTTAAAAAGTTTTGCATTAATGGTTTTTTTTTATTGCATTTGTAATGCAATTACGTTATGCATTAATTGACACTATCGAACAATAAAACTAATACTAATAATTTTATTTTATTTTATATTTAAATCGTTTTTGAAAATAATTTAAAAAAATACAAATGTCATTATATTGAAATAAGAAACTATACAATCTGACATAAATTATATAGTATTTTTTGCAGCGCACGAGTTGCTTCCGAATTCGTCTGAATAACAACGGAATTATTTATTGTTCATTCAACCATTTCTTCTTAAAATAACAGAGAAATTATTTTTACGGAAAATTCAATATATGAATATTTTTGTTTACTAATTACTGTTAGCTGGCAATAATGGAATGTTTTTTTTTTTTTAAATGAATAATTGTTAGAATTTAAAATTTTATTTTATTGCTTCCTCATCGAGGAAAACGTTTAATTTATTTAAATATAAATTTTTGCGCAAAGTTATTTTAATAATAAGGAAACGTACATAATAATAGATCATTGTAAAAGCAATTATTATAATAATAAATGTGATAAAAATAGACAAATACTCAAAAAAAGAGTAATATAAAATAAATTTTGCAAAGAAAATTATTATTATTATTCTGTAATGAGGAAAATCTAACATTATTATTTCAATCAGTATTATTTTTTAGTAAATTTTTTCAGTGTGAATCAATTTAATTTGAAATATTTTAATTTTTATTGATGAATAATTTAAAAAAAATTATGATAAAAAGAACACGAATTGTTATAATTTTTATTTTTATAAAATTATTAACCATTTTTTTGTTTGCTAACAGATTAATAAAGTACTTATTCTTATGTAAAAAAAACTCTTAATGTACTTATATATATTCTTGGATAATAATTGGATAAAGGAGATGTATCATGTATATGTTAACATTGTTTCAAGGGAAAAATTGTGTTATAAAAGATGTAATAGTGTGAAAAAAAAAGTTTTTATATTACATGTCTACGGCAATGGACATCTTTATAAGGAGGGAACACCCACTTTTGAGAAAAGTGGGTCATCTTTGCACGTATATAGCGTCTAAAAAAAGTTTACATGCGTAAAAGTAGGCGTCATTGAAGGAAATTTCTTAGCACCGTGAAGTTAACTAGACAAGCGAATATCTAATTAAACTGTTCTAGATTATTATAAAATATTAAACGTTCCAAGAAAAATCGATAATCAAAAAGAGCGGAGGGTTCAAAAATTCAAAATTTTCAATAT